TTATAAGCACCCTCATTTCCCTGACTCCTCCGTTGCCGTGCCAAGCTGTTACCAACACGTCTGACCATTTATTCTGGTTTTGTTGCAGAGGCGCCCTACAAAATGGAATGTAGATGTTATTGACTATACTAGAAGCCAATGATTTAGAAATTAATCTGGATCCTTCCATGTTGCTCCTCCTTAATCAGCATCCATAGTTGGTTTCCATTCTCATTTCCTACAAGTTACTATACTTTTCTACTGTAAGTGCCAGTAACCTCACACCAGCTCCCCCAACTCCCCTACATCCTTCTTTCACTCCCATTCACCTCCAAACTTTTACGTTCATCAGTTCTTACTTCTTTTTTGCCTTGTTTGACTGAGTAAATCCAACCACTTGTGCTTTAGAACCTATTCCTTTCCATATCCTTTAGGGTTCTTTCTACTTCTTTAGGTTCAAACTCACTTCTCTATCCTCAGACTATAAATATATACTTACAAATCCTGTACAATCTTTAGTCTTCTTTCAACCAAGTTACTGCCTTCTTCTGTTCCTGTTAGATTTTGGACTTGCTGGGCCACACTGCAGCTTTTGTAATGGTCCCTACAAACTCTGTACTAGCCAAATCTAATGGCTATCTCAGTTTTATCCTGTTACAATCTCTCCTTTTTTCTTTTTTTAAGCAGCTAACCAGCTACATCTTTATCAAAATGTTCTCCTAATTCTAACAATTCTTTGTCAGCCCTTTTTGGCTGCTGTTTCTTTTATCCACCTTTTATTTCTTGTAGTTCTATTTTTACATGGTCTTGCGGAAAATCTAAAATATAACCCATATGTCTCATAGCTCCAGTTCTGGCCTCTCTCCAGATTATCAGAAAATTTTTTCTTATTATTTCCTGGATGTCTCCACACAGATATTTCAAAACTGTGTCCACAACTGAACTTGTAATCTTTCCCTCAAATTGGATCCTCTTGCTTTGGTATTTCCTGTTTTCTCTCAGGTTAGAAACCTTTTTGACACTAGCCTGCAAATCATACCCTCATGCAGTACACTGATTGACTAGGCGTTCCATCAGATTCTACTCCACAGTTTATCTCCAGAACCCATCCAATCCTTTGCATTTGTATTGTCAATACTCATGTTCAGGACCCCAACTCTTTTCACTTCGAATACAAAAGAAGCTCCTATTTGATTTATGTACTTTCAATCCTATTCCCTCTAATGAACCCTCTCTACTACTACCAGAGCAAGGAGTGCAAAAAAAAAAATCCTTTTTTTTTTTATCTGAGCAGTAGGCATAGTATCTAGAATAAGAAATTTTCAACAACCACAAAGTAGATAAATATAGCATTTTAAAACACAGATATGGTCATATTACATTACCTCTGAAGGCACCCTGTTGCACATACATTTATAAATCCATCCTCCTTAGCATGCCATCTAAAACCTTTCACAGTCCAATCTCCATGTAACATTCTAGCCTCATCGTTCACCAATTCTCCCGCATCACTTCAAGGACGCATGGACTTGCTGGGCACACTGCCTTTTGTTTGTATGCCTTTGTTCTTGCTGGTGTGCCCACCTCATTTCTTCACTAAGAAAAACCTTATCAGAAAGTTTTAGTTCAAATATCACCCTCTTCTGAAAAACCTTCCCTGATCAACACCTCTTGTCCTCAAATGGATCTGACTGTTCCCTCCTTTCTTCTTAGGTACTTTAATACCCTTCTTATGGAACAAATGATATTCCCTCATTCGTGAAAATATTCATCTCCTTGAGAACAGGAGACACAGTAGGTGTGACAGAAATTGCTATCATTCTCTTTTTCACGAGTCTTTAGCAACACTACATTTTCTACTTTCTCTTGAAGCATGGCCAATGAAATATGAACATGAGTGATGTGCATTTTTCATGTCTCCATAATTGGCCTATAAAAAACTCCCATGCTATCCTCATTCTCTTGCCCCATCCACTGGCTGAACAGGACTCATGGAAGGCCAACCACAAGATAAAAAGAATCTGGGTCACCAAATTTCTGCAAGGAGCAGTGCTTTCCTAACGACTTGCATTACGTTGTGATATGAGTACAATACAAATTAATATACATATATAACATACATGTGTATATATGTATTTATTTATTGAAGTATAGTTGATTTATAATATTGTGTTAGTTTCATGTATACAGCATAGTGATTCAGTATTTTTGCAGATTATACTTCATTATAGGTTATTACAAGAAAATGGGTATAATTCTCCATGCAATAAAAAATATCCTTGTTACTTAATCTGTTTTATGCATAGTACTTTGTTTTAAGGCATTGAAATCTGGGGATTGTTTGTTATGGCAGTTTGTGAACCCTGCCTATCTTATGAGAAGAAAACAACTGAATCAAGAATCTGAAAAGACAGACAAGGTATTCAACTCATCCCCTACTTTCAAAAAGGACCATATTAATATTCCCAGAGAAAATCTCTGGGATTTTTACATAACAACCCTCATCTAAAACTTTTTTCTA